ACAGACTTGATAAAGAAGAACTGGAATAAAAATATACAAGTTGGAGAAATACGTTCTATTGAAAAAAGTGAAGTGTCTCAGTGGAATTATGGGAAAATGGGGGAGGTGGATGTAAAGGGAGACTGAGAGGGGCAGGAGCAGGGGAAGGGAGGGGGAACCTGGGTGCAGAGGAGGTGAGGAGGGGGCTGGGTGCAGGCTGTGTGATAAGCTGATCTTGGACGTCAGCACTGAAACAGATCTGTTGTATTTTCATGAACAACATGTCTATCAATTATAAAATATTGATTTATTTTTTTATATTATACTTGTGACTACATCACATTAAAGAGTCTAGCAATGATATATATAGCACCTTATCAATAGAAAATATTCATATTTTTCCTTCTACATATATATATATATATTTGCATGTCTAAGATTATATCTCAATTGCTAGGTCTTTGAATTCATTCCTAATCCTGCTTTATTTAACATCAATTTCACTTACTAATTTCACAACTGATACTGATTGAGAATATATTTTTCCTGTTAATTTTATTATCTCTCTACATTTCAGGAATGAACAAAAGAGCTTATTCAGACTTGCGACTCCAACATCCAGCTCAGCCACAGAACAAGCGAAAACTTAAAACATCTAAACAAAATACTCCATCTGATTTTATAAATAAAGGTATTTGTGTTTTCTACATATTATTTCTGAAAATTATATTAAAATATACCAGTTTGTGCATCATCATGCTCCTATACATCATATACACCAAAATATTGTTTCTTTTAAAAAGCAGAGAATGTGACTAATATTCTAATCTTACCTATTATATTCTTAACCTTTTTTTAAAACTTCTACACTAAAAGCTACCTATAATAATTCAGAAATCATAGCACTTTTTTCCTTCCTAATGAATAGTCCATCGAAAAGTGCATGTAGTTACCATCAGTGTATGTAGGAAAACTATAATTATTGTATGTGGGATTTTGCAGGAACACACATACTTCACCATTATTTATTTTTACATAAAAATACCTTCAGGTTTTTCTCAATATAAACACTTTCTCACATGAAATCAATATTAAAAGAATACTACAAGCTAAATAATTTATTTTTGTTTTACGTACGATTTTTTAA